GGATCAAAACAGGTATAAGGCTGCTTTAGTGCTAAATGTTATCTAGATTACTATATTTGCAAGTGATGGACCAAAAGTAAAATCCTTGGCCAATACCTAAACCCCAGCATTGCAATTTGGCACTGTCGTCAGTTAATTTATTTATCATTTCCAAAACTGCGTCTACAGATGGCATCAGCGTGCTTGCAGGGACTTTCCTTTCTGCCTCTGTTGTTTTGCTGTGTTCTGCATATCAAGTATGTAATTATTTCTAAATTATTTGTAATTATAAATTGCTTGTCTAATGTGTATAAACCATAAAATAGATTCACATGGCTGCCATTTCTCTCTGCAATGCTTGTGCTCACCCATGCATGAGAGTAAAAGCAGTGTCTTTAATCACATTTTCATTTTTTTTTTTAGATTTTAACTCTTCTGACAAATTCTTGCTCAAATTTTGGTTATATTTTTTCTCTTTAGGCTGAAAAACATAACTGCAGTTTGTGACCATTTCAGCTGAAAATTTTTTATGTGTAATATTACAGAAAATATTAAGACTAGTTAAGACTAGTTAGCTTTTCTTAACTTGGCAGCTGACAGTTAGCTTGATCATGTAGTGCTCACGTTTGTGATTAAAAAAATTGTGCATAAAGATAAACATTAAAGCACTTTTACTCATGCATTGGTTTACTGAAAGGCCTCATGTCAGCACCGGTTGAGGAGTCATTCTGACTACCTCCACTTTTAGCTCTAGCGTTAGCTTCTCTGAAGGAGCAGCTTCTGTTGCTAAAACTTCCTGTTTATTTGTCATGAAAACATACCGCTTTAATGTCATGTGATGAACAATTTCTATGGTTTGATTAATGTAAACATGGTAAACATGGCATTCATATTTTATCAGTTTTAAAACATGTATGTCTGCACTGAACAATTCTTAAAGGCAGTATATTTTGAATATTGAATGAAAAATGTTTTCAGAGGTGCTGCTCTGTATAAAGTCTCCTCTGTACTTCTAAACTTTAAAGTCTGTTAGTACAAGTGTTATGGATGCTACCAGGTATCATGACCTGAAAGTTTCACAGAGGTAGCATAACAAGGAAGGTCGATTTTTCAGAATTTGCAAATGGTCAGCTGGCAACCTATCTTACCTTAATTATTTGGCTGTATTAGATGTGCAAGATCAGTTTGGCTGAGACTCAAAATTAAAGTACCTGGATTGGATTAAAAGGGGACAAAAACCTGGATTGTGATATCTCTTCAGGAATACTCAAGTCTGTAGTTTCAGTACAATAATACTTGTTCTGAAGATGCATAAGATACATTTTGTATGGGGCATGCAAAATGATTATCGCACATCTGACAAACATTAAAAACAAATTCTTTTTAAAAAACATCCAGTGCAAGAATAAAAATCATTGTCTAATTATGTGTGTACATTCAAGTTCAGTATCAATTAAACACCCCCAAACTGTCTTTTTGGCTTGATGATTTTTTGTTCGCAGCTCTGATTTTGATTTATAATTGATTTATTGCTCAGATGACTCCGCCTTGTCTCCTGCTTTCATGAATATTAATTGTCAATGGCTTGCTAGTCATACCTCTTTTTAATGCTGTTGACTACATCTCTGGCTAGAGCGAGTCCTGCTCTCAGGCTCGTAAACAAGCTACAAGACATAGGTAAACACAACTTGCTATGACATATATGACAGTAAACACAACTGGCTATGACATATATGACATTTATCAACATAATCAACCCAAGGTACTTTTGGAAATACTTAATTTGTATATTTAATTTTGTACAGTTTTTTCGACCACAGAGTCTGGGCCTTGAATGCTTGTGAAATAATGTAGTGTGCTGAGGGACCCAATGTGGATGTGTTCACCATTAGGGCTGGTGGAGTGTGATAATGCAAACCCTGCAGGGGAACCCAGTGATTTATTAACAAGCTGACCTTATACCACCCCCCACTCTCCTCTCTCTCTTTCCCCCTCTCTCTCTCTCCCTCTCTCTATCTCTGTATCTCTCTTAATTCATCTGACTAATTTCCCTAACTCCTGATTAACAGTTGCCTCAAAATTTTGAAGGGAGGCCTGTGCCAGTCTATAAGCACCCTGTGATCCTATATAGCAAGAGGTTTGCAAAGACGCATACTCATAGTTATTGATTTCTTTTCTCTGATGGGCTCAGGCTCACATTTAGCCACTGACCCCATTATGGTTTATTGACGTCATTTATGACCGTACCACCAATGGGTCACTGAACCTCTTCTCTCTTGAGAATAGATTGCAAACAGTTCAGTCCTCCAACTCAAAACTGGAAAAGGAATGGTGTACATTTCAATTGGTTCTGTCTTTGGGCAATGCTTTTATATACAAATACTTTCTAGTCCAGTGTTGTACATTGTGGTGAAGGTTTGCAGAACCTAGCAAATGTGTTTAGCACTGCTATTAGCACACCTACATGTAGTATAAGGCCCTTGTAATTCTGTCAGTGAGAAACAGGCCTACCCCAGTGTCTCGGTGAGTGAGAATCCCTGCCTGCTAGTTGTATAGAGTTGCAATCTGGTGCCAGAGGAACTCCAGCCTGTACATACTGCAAGCTGTTAGCAGGATGTTCTCTCTCAACTAATGGGACATGGCACAGAACTGAAAAGCCAATAGGACACATTTGGTAGAGGAAGAGGGAGATGAAGGGTGAGCAAGGGAGAGAAAGTAAAGAATAAGACTTCTATAAGTTCCATTAAGAAAAGAATAAAGAGAAATATTAATTTAAAATAATATTTTTCTAATAGAATGATAACAGAATAACTGATAACTATGCTTTACACATCTTGTATGGCTGCTGTAAGGCAATTAAAGTATGATGAAATTTTGTATTATCATTCCATTATTGTTTAATAGGACTGAGGTATAAACAGGGTCACCATTGTAAATTGTCAAAATTCTCATTTATGGCATTAAAATGTTTAAAATAAGAATCTGTTCTTTTATGTATGATAAGATATAATTATGTCAAAGTGAATTCATATTAGGTGTTTGCTACTCCATATAAATCCTTTATTTGAAAATTTTATATTACATGATGGAAATTAGCTAGTTGGCTAACTTAAGAGCATTGTTTCTTATTTGAGATTAACAAAATAAGTATAATAAACTAAACACTTATAAGGGTCAAAATAAAAATGACCCCTTCTGAGACAAAATAAAGGCAGCGCTACACTCAATCTTTCAGCACTAAGTGCAAGCGTCACTCAGCCTACCAAGCTGAGGTCACCCATGTGTGTCATAAATCCCCAAGTAATCAATACTTTAATGGTTACTCAGGGGCTGCTCTATCCTTTAGTCCCAGGCCCTTCTATCTCTTGATGCCAGAGCCATCCCATATCATTTCCCATATCTAGACTTCTGGCAGGTGGAAGAGCACATCTGCCACAAAAGCAGTGGCAGGTGATGAGCAGAAGATGGTGTTTTTTCTTTGGGAAATGAAGAAAAGGAGTGTTTCTATACCATTATTCTGTTTTTTTTTTTTTGCACACCAGTAGGACATCATAATTGCACACTAGAAATATTCACAGATATTCATTCAGTGGGTTACTTTAGAGAACAATACAAGTGCCACATCTAGCACACTATTATATGTACTAGTACTAGGTGTCAACAGTGTCTGGAGGCAAATGATGCTGCTTTCTTTTTGCTTGGTGGGTAAAGGCCATCCTGTTCACTTTCATTCAAAGGGATTGGGATTTTATTGATTTTATTCTCCAGTGCTTTTAGGCAGACATAAAGGGGGTAACCACGCTTAAGGGGGGGAAGGTTCATAATTTGACATACAATAAATGTTGCCCTGACCTCCAGCAATCTCCTCTCAGCAAAGATGGGGACTGAAATAGCTTGGAACCCCTAGGACGTATAGCCAGAGCAGACAATAGATACACTGTGTGCCATTAGCTGCTTTTATATTTGAGTAACTGCCATCTACAGTGAAGTCATTGGTGTACTTTAGACTGCTCAGCATTGAGAAGAAAAAAGAGGATGGTCAGCAGTGTGTCTGATTTTTTTTCATCTGATGAGTTGTCCTTAAATGCACCGATCTTTTAACGATTAGGGTACTCTGGTACATCTTTGACTACCTTATGATATCTTATCCCTGTTATCACTTGCACTCCGAAAGGTGCCAAATTTGGATAATGTTTGTTTCCATGAAGAACCTTTCGGTGTGTGGTCCTTCAGAGAATTATTTTGGTAACATGGATGTGTGATTGTGAAGTAGCTTTTTAAAGTATTTAAAGTAAAGAACCTCCGTCCCCCTTTCTATAGACGTTTGTGCAAGCATGTAAGAACTTTTATTTTTAAGTGTGTGGCTATATGCATGGCTTAGGAATGATAAAATAATAAATGATGATGTAACAAATTCTGTTTCTTCACTCGTTTCACACATCTTCAAGCTCTGGGAAAAATCACCTAAAAGAGTTTGTTTCTTTCTTTGTTTCTCTCTCTCTCTCTCTCTCTCTCTCTTTGCTGCAATGGCATGCAAGACAGAGCACCTTGTTGCCCCATCACTTTTCTGTCCTCTCTTTTTATTAGCACTAAAGATTGTACCTCTTCACTTCATTTCCCCTTTTTTTCTTTCTGTTCTCTTTGTTACTTTCTTTAATACATTTCAGCTCCATGTCGCTCAGTTTGTTCTCTTCATGACGCAGAAGCAGCAAAGGAAGAGTAAGCTTCACATACTGATCTCCTTCGATAACCCATGACTGTTGGAGAGGGTCCAGAGAGAGAGACAGGGTGGTGAGAGATAATGGAATCGGACTACATGCAGAACTGTGTGAGCAGCATCTCCAGTCAGACAGCTGAGTGAGATGGAATAAGAGGGTGGGGGAAGGAAAGAGGGGAGAGGAAAGAGCGGGTTGGGGGTGGGGTAGGGGTGGTTGCATTGCGGGAGAGTGAAAGTGAGAAAGCTGGAGAATGAGAGGAGAGGGGAGGGGAGAGCATGGTGGGTGGGGGAGGAGGAGAGAGCGTGTTCCTCCTGTATGTGTGTGTGCATGTGAGCTAGAGAGAAGTGCTGCAGTGGCGAGTGGGGGGGGATGACTGCAGTTTCTCGGGCTGATTGGAGACAGAAGACGTTGCTTTGGCTCTGAAACATTTAACCCCTAAGTGCCTCGCCACTGAATGGGTCAGCCCCACACTAAGGATTAGCGCTGAGCAGAACACTAGAGGCAGGTGAGTAAGCTTTTAGCTTTTCAGTTTGATTTTCATTCCCTCAAAGCTAGAAATGAAGGAGGAGGGGCACTCTGAACTAGAGCAGCACTGTTACTGTAAGACAGAGAGGTCTGGTGCACGATACTCGACGTTAGACGTTACTTAATCATGCTGCAGGAAAAGGACTGTCAGACTGGTGCTCAGTGAATAGGGAAGTACTGCAGGCAAATTTGTACGGTCTTGCTTGTGAGTGGATGCAGCTTTCCCTTTTTCTCTTTTCGTGGTGACTTAATCTATTGCATGGACTATTTTCAGCCAGCATTTTGTGGACAGTAAAGCAAATCATGTGCATAACCTCGCTCAACCGGAGTAACTGCGGTGCCGTGATCAGTTTGTCATGAGGGTGCTGCGGCAGCACTTGAAGCCTGTCCCAGGAGAGATATGTGTGTGTGGGAGTGTGTGTGGGTGTGTGCCAGGTATATGTGCGTTAGCATCTTATCTGCTTCACAGTTCAGGTGTAGCTGGCTCTGGCTTCATTCTCTCTCCTGCTTGCTAATAGATGCGGTTATGAAAAGCTCAGCTGAGATCTGATCCTAGATCAGTGTGCAGCAGCTGCTGAGTTTAACCTCGAGCTGTCGACGGCCGGGTGGGAAGGCTGTCTGCACGAGGGCCATTTTTCTTTCTTTTTTTTTCCTGGAGAGTTTCCAGCAAGCCGTCCCTGCTGACAGCTGCTGTGTTTGTCCTGAAGGGGGGTGAGGATCGACACCCCTCTCTGCACCAAGTAACAGCAGTGAGAAGCCATGCAGCATTTCTCTGCTGAGAAGGCATTTATTCTTTTCTGCGGGACCACTGTATTAAAAAAGATCAGACATATGGAAGAGATGGGGGAGGTTTTGTCACAGGGAAAAAAAAAGAAGCAGAACACTGTTTCTGTGAGTAAGCCGTAATAATGTGAATAATGTGAAGTTAATGAAAATATAGAATATTTTTTCTCAGTGATGCCAACTTAAAAGTTATGACAATCATCAATAATCACATGTAAATGTACCATATACATCATCTCTGAAGGGGAGCACTAGGAGTAGTGGATTTTACTTTAATGTTATAGAATATTCATTCATTCATTAATTTCTTCTCTCTCTCTCTCTCTCTCTCTCTCTCTCTCTCTCTCTCTCTCTCTCTTTCTCTATCTCTCTTTCTGTTTCCCTTTTACCCCCTCTGGATTTTCCTGGGCATCACAGAGAGGGGACATTCCCAAGGACAAATGCTGCTTTCTAACTGTTAAAGCTTAACACCTTAATAGTTAGAGAGTTTTATGTGTGCTTCAATTTGGAAGTTCCATTTAACTTAGAAGTAGAGATTTGTCAATATTAACGATTTATGTGTGGATAACACAAAAAGGGCTGGGAATGAATATTGGACGAGGGACTACATATGCTACTACAGAACCACTACATATGGTACTATAGCTGACGCAAGTGTTTTCCTTTTGTTCATGACTTATCTGTTCTTTTTTCTTTAAAAATTGTGTGTGTGTGTGTGTGTGTGGGTGTTGAGGTTGGTTTGGGCAGTGTGTGTAATAAACAGCATGCAGAATGAAAAAACCCATGTAGGACCCTAGAGACTAGAGCCTTGCTCTACTCTAATGCACTCCATCTTGCAATCAAGCTAACAGGCTCATGTAGCTTGCACACAGTCAAGCATTTAGACGTGGAGTTTCCCAACAGCTGTGTACGTATCTTTGTAAAATCGTGGTCTTTCAACTCTCTTTCATTTAGTTATACATAATCATCTTTAAACTGTCACTATAGCAAATATGAGAAAAAACAACAGTTGCAGGCATTTTTATGACATTTTCTGTGCCTTGCTACAGTTTTATATTGTATTGATTAAGTAATAATGGGGGTTGATGGAGCTAAACCAGATGCTTAAATAACTGTCACATTTCCCAGAATCACTATAATGCAGGAGAGAAATCTGTTTTTATTCAACCAGGCTGACAAATGTAAGAGAGAACACAAGCTACAGTTATTGCCCTATGGCCATTCTGCAAGTGTGATTTCAATTCACTTACATGATAAATGAGACTTAATTAATACTAAGCTTTATATATAATCATTTTATCAAGGGGACATCATTGAAAACCGTTTCCTAGCAATGGAAGAGAGATCCCAAGTAGAAAGTTTTGTATTATAAATGTCACCATAAAAGTTTTGTTGTTGACTGCATTTTCTTCATTGCAATCAACTCAAAACTCAGTATAGAATTTGAAATGTTTTATTATACATACTTGATGTGCCTGTTTGTGCTGGTTAATGTTGGTTTTCTTACCTTTTCTTTGGTTCTGTCCAGCTACAGCTGGCCTCACAGACAGACAAACGTGGCCAAACAAGACAGATTGCATTTACTCACAGCCATCTGAGAAACAAATAGGGAAAGACTGAGAATCATGCCAAGGCTTTCTGGTTGGGTTTTGGTTAAAGACTTTCTGTGGTGGTAGTGTTGTCTTTCTCAATAAAGTGGAAGCCCAGTGACCTCCTAAAACAGCAGCAACCCTCTTAAGGTACTGCATGAGAAGTAGCAGCCTTGGACGCTGATATAGGCTAATTGTAGGTGATGTCTATCAAGTTTTATATGCACTACTAAACTATGGTTTAATTCATCAGGGTCCTCTGATAAATGTATATTCTTGAAAATGAAGATGCCAAAGCAATAAAAAACCTGTTTGGTTTCCCTGAAGAACCTTTCAATGAATGACTCTTTAATGTCAATGTGAATCAGCAATCTAACTGTTAGGTGGGAGTTGGTAGGAGGGAGAGGTGGAACATGATATTATTTGTTAATATTATTCTTTCCCACCTGCTTAAAATAAAGCAGACAAAAGTCGCTACACATAGATCAAAAATTACAGGAAGAATTTTGTCTTTTAAATGGTATGATATGATATGCTTGATTGTGCTTAACATGGTGAGTTGCTCAAACTAACAAGGTAACAAAGGTCAGTTTTGACTTCAGATTGACTTTAAAGAACAATTTTTGTAAATGGGATGTTCTGTTCCCCAGTTTAAAGAATCTTCTCAAAATGCAAACATTCTATAGCTAATCATTTTTTTCCTACCACCACACGTCTATGCCAAGAACAACTTATGAATCTTATTTTTGAGAGTATGCCAATGCATGATCAAGCGTACAAAAATTTGACTACTGCTTGTGTTTTGTAGAAAGAGCACAAGAGCACCCTCTCATGCTGTACAACCCAGGTTAACCAAGACAGTTTTTAAACCACTTGAGGAAAACCATAAGCTAAAATTAAACCCATCCTAAAAGTATAGAAGAGAGATCCCAAGGAATATCCAATGTTTTTTGTCATAATAACTGTTGTGGTGCTGGCCTGGGAAACTCAAAGAGCTCAGCGACACACACATGCAAGCAAAACAATACCACGAGTCAACCACAGTGCTTTACTCACACATTTACATGCGACTTAAATGAAAACTCAACTTGAACACGGCTTACTCAGCCTCAATATCAAGAGTCCTTTGTCCTCTTTTTTAGTCCCTCTTTCGGCTCTCTCTCTGGCGTGTATGTGACCAGGAGGCCAGCGTTATCTCTTTTCTGACACTGAAAAGTTTTTAACGAGTCTGTGGTTCTCGTCTGATTCTCCTCAGAAGAGGAGCACAAATCATCTGCTCAGGGATAGGTGGCTGCTCCACCTCTCCACAGCCACCTTCCCATCCCCTTTAGAGCACAGCCACCCATGTCAAAGGTAAGGTGAGGCATGATGGCTGGTCCCAAGCCAGGGAGGCGGGGTGAGAGAAGCAGTGTTGCCTCTGAAGGCACTGTTAGGTCTGGGTCTGGCCTCATCCAGTCCCAGCCTCTCCTACAGTACACAGGGGCGCCTGACAGACATTAGGCAGTGCTGCGGACACAGCCAGTTCTCTGACACCCTCTTGGATATCAGGCAGCCCTGTCAACACAGCTGGAGGTTTCCTGTCATCCTGTCAAGGGTAGCAGCTCTGGGGTTCTCTTCAGAACACCCAGCAGTGCTCAGGCCTCAGCCAGTTGTAACCATGAGGGTCAGGGGACCTCCTCATCCTCTGCCACGGGCCCACCAGGAGAGAAAAGACCAGGGATAGGTGCAATCAGCAGATGAGGCACAAGGGGGCGGGGCACTGGCAGCATGGGCCCAGCCAGCAGAATGAGAGGGAGAGTGGGCAAAACAAGATGGTGTGTGTGGGTGGAAAAGGAGCCGGCACCGAACGGACAGTGGAAGGGACCCAGGATCCCCAGCGTCGCTGTGTGAGCATTTAGGCTGGGACTTGGGGAAGCCTCCACAGGCTCTAGTATGTGTGGTGTGGTGTGTGTATATTGAGCCATGTCCTCACTGTCATCCTCCAAGTCCTCCGGGAAGATGCAGCAGCAGAAGTCTGGGCTTACACCAACACTGGCATTGGCCACTGCTGCCTTTCTTCCCAGACCAGATTGACCAGGCCACTGAGGCCATTAGATACCTCAACAGAGACTTGGCAATCACCTGCTCTCTCTCAGGTGCTAAGGTAAATGACATTATGCAGCAGCTTCCTAACCTCCTCACTAAGCATTCAGACATTTGCAATGTGATTTTCCATGTAGGCTGTAACAATATCAAAGACAAAAAAACTGAACTCTTGAAGAAAGACAGCTGTTTGATGCAAGGGAGGAGGCATGGGGTGTTTTAGCCACTTGTTAGACCTCCACAGCTGGCTTCAGGAAGCTTGTCTAGTGAATAAATTGTTTTTTATCAACAATTTTAATCTCCTCTGAAACCGTCCATCCTTTTATAGGAATGACGGGATTCATCCCAGCAGGCTTGCCTTGCAGGTTTTTACTCTTGTCTTAACATGAGATATCTACTTGAAATGAGAAATTAGTACTTAGCTATCCCAGCACTCACTAGCAATCGATCTAGGATCAGCCAGTAAAACATGGGAATAAAGTGGAAAGGTAACTTTTTTATTAACCCAGCTAATCTTACCGGTATT